CTCTCTCTCTCTCTCTCTCTCTCTCTCTCTCTCTCTCTCTGTGGAAACTGTGCAGCTCCTCCTCCTCCCCGTTTCTCCCTTGCCATCGTTCTTCTCCACCTCCCCCCTCCTCCCTTCTTCGTCAAGTTCTCTTCCTCCCTCCTCCCCTGTCATCGATCTCCTCCTCCATCCGCCGTTGTCCTCCCCTTCCCTCCGTCATCGGTGTTGTCCTCCCTCCGCCCTTTTCCCTTCCCCCTCCTCCCTCGCCATCGATCTACTCCTCCCTCCTCCATTCCCTCCCTCATCATCGATCTCCTCCTCCCTCCGTCGTTGTCCTCCCTTCCCTCCATCACCGGCGTCGTACTCCCTCCGCCCTTCTATTGAACTCCTCCTCCATCCTCCATTCCCTCCCTCGTCATCGATCTCCTCCTCCCTCCGTCATTGTCCTCCCCTTCCCTCCATCATCGGTGTCGTCCTCCCTCCGCCCTTCTCCCTTCCCCCTCTTCCCTCGCTATCGATCTACTCCTCTCTCCTCCATTCCCTCCCTCATCATCGATCTCCTCCTCCCTCCGTCACTGTCCTCCCACTCCCTCATGCATCATCGGCGTCGTCCTCCCTCCGCCCTTCTCCCTTCCCCCTCCTCCCTCGTTATCGATCTCCTCCTCCCTCCTCCATTCCCTCTCTTGTCATCGATCTCCTCCTCCCTCCATCGCTGTCGTCCCCCTCCCTCTTTCATCATGTTGTCCTTTTTTTTCTTTTTTTTTTCATATATGAAATTTTGAATAGTGCACCACTGCTCCCCCTCCCTCCTTCATCATCGATGTCGCCCTCCCTCCACACTTCTCGCTTCCCCCTCCTCCCTCGCTATCGATCTCCTCTTCCCTCGTCATCGATCTCCTCCTCCCTTCGTCGTTGTCCTCCCCTTCCCTCCATCATCGGTGTCGTCCTCCCTCCACCCTTCTCCCTTCCCCCTCTTCCGTCGCTATTGATCTCCTCCTCGCTCCTCCATTCCCTCCCTCGTCACCCATCTCCTCCTCCCTCCGTCATTGTCCTCCTCTTCCCTCCATGCCCGAGCGCACCATGCGCGCAAATGCGCGCGGCACACGCACGCCCCGGCGCACTGGCGCACTGCGCATCCAAGTGCCGCGCAGCGCATCCCGCATTGCGCACTGCGCATCGATGCGCGCGCATCGCGCATCAATGCGCACATCCCCGACGGGCGCACGGCGCACTGGGCACCGCACCGCATTGCGCAGCGCATAGATGCGCCGCAAGTATGATCAACACTAATTAACTACTTCAGTCCCCGCACACGTGTCAGATCAGGTTATCCTGATTCATGTGCGGTGTTCCGATACCAACTGTTACATGCCCAGTCGGGCGATGTACATACATAGCCAAGGATCCGCAATGTGATAAAAAGGACTGAATGGACAATGCAGTGCTAGTAGAATCTCAACAAGCAGTGTACATCCTGATACATACAAAAATGGTGCTTTGTAGCGCAGTGGAAGACTTAGATACAAGTCCTGACCTGACCGGGACTGACCTCCCTCACGTAGTACAAGACAGCATAG